AAAGGGACAAAGAGTGGGCGGCTTGCATGTTTACCATAATAATAATATTTTAATAAAATTTTTATAATATTATTATATTATTGAATAATTAAAACAATAATAATAATAGCAATGACAGTATTATTAATAATGACAGTAGTAATTAAAATAACAACAACTTAATTAAAATCAACATAACAAATTTAGACATGTTTAAACAAAATGCTTTGGTAACTATGGCGACACCAATGTGTGACTTGGTTCTGAAGGTTTCAATTCTCCGTTTATAAGCTTTATAAGTTAACTTTTCTATGAATAAAGTCGCTTAAGAACGCGATACCGCTAAGTTAAAATACTGCGCAATTTATTCATTTGTTTTGCTTTTAGCATCCAACATTTATAGTATAAAAAGATCGTTTTACTGTTGGTCTAAACATTTCCGCTTTCGCTGAAAGGCGCAGTTAGAATCTTTTTTTTTCTTTATTAAAAGTCTATGAAAAGGTAAAGTATATCAATGCATTCAATATATTCCATGTTTATATAACTATGCTATGATTTTAATACAGATGATGACTATTTTTGGAACTATTTACTTTATTTGAAATAGAGTTTCTCGCGACACTAGGTATTGCCGCACTGACTTAATCCATTCTGATGGGTAATTTCACCAGTTAGGATTGGCATAATGCCCATTGGACATTTGGCAAACACATTTTAATTCGTTTAATACAAAAAATTTCTTTTTTAACCGTTTTTAAATATACTAGATTCTGCAGCTATTGTAACTTAAAAAGCTTATATTTTTTTTATTCAATCGCAGTCTTTAATTAAAAGTGTCTGATAGAAGCGTTTTTTTTTGTTTGTTTTTTTTTGTATCAGGATTCTTTTTCGCAAAAAAATACGAGTTTTAAACAGTTGTGTTATGTTTGAGGCAGTAGAAAAACATAACACAACTTAGTTCAAAACTCATGTCTTAAGCGCTCAATAAACTAGTAAGAGATCTTGACTCTGCTTGTCAAAATCTTTTCTATTTTATTTAGCGCTTTTAAAAAATATTTATGAATATAAAAAGCGTGATCATGTTTAAATTTTCGAAGGCCTCGATTAAACTTGTAAGATCTTCATGGAGAAAGATCTTACAACTATGTGATCATTAATAAATACTTTCAAGCTAATCTTAAGTAGGTTAAAATTAGTGGAAATGAAACTGTATTTATATTTTTTATTTTGAAACACCGATTCATTTTTTTAAATATTGCTAGCGTAATTTTATACCCATAAGTTTATAACGTAATTTTATAACCAATAGTTTGCTCTACTGAGATTGTGAAATATTTCCACTCTGTTCAGTAAAACACTTTCACACTTTTACTATAAGCCATCTGAAGAAAACCTGTTGAACTTTTTGCCTCACCCACTATACTCTTTAACTTCATTTTTAATTATTGTTGCAGCTGCCCTTTTTTATTGTTCTGCTAATAACTTACATGTATTCTGATTAGTGCAGAAAGTGTTTGCAATTTTGGCAAAGTCCACAAAGGCTTGGTATCTCTTGTCAAATTTACGGAGAGCAATAAACATTCTAAAGTTTATATCAACATAATTTCTACCTCGTTTAGATACAAAGAACGTGAGAAAATTGCAGAAGACAATACGGTCTTGTTATCAAGAGACCGCTTTATTTTGCTGTCATATATAATAATATTTTAGAGTCACATATAATAAACTACTAGATAAATAAAAACAGATAATTACTGTATTTGGTACATATAATTATATTATTACATGCGATGTTTAATATTATTATATTACTTTTTATACTAAAGACATTGACAAGCATGTATAAAATTTAAATACAATTTATACTGATGTAAAGTTAATTTTAGTATAGAGGAAGTGGGGGCATAACCGTCCCCGTAACGTTTGGATTAATGTTATATGAAAATAAAAACGAAATGTGTTTTTTTAACAGTTTATTTTAATAACCACATCATTAAGCTTTAAATTAATGAAATTAAAAAATAAATAAAACGGTTTTTGAAAATGTTATTACACAAAAGTTACACTTAGTGAAAAAAACGGTTTTGCCCCCATTGTGAGGCGCAACCACACCCTCACAAAAACTGTTAAGGGTACACTTTTCTTGGTAACATTATCTTTACAATTGTCACAGAAGATTATTTGCTGATTTTGTTGCACGTTTTCATAATGTGTAAGTATTCTTTCTACTTAAAGTCTGAGTTTTCTTATTCGATATACTCTTAGCTTTATATTTTATTTAAAAACTCATTTTTAAATTAAATAAAAAAATACGAAATTTAATTCCCAACATCTCAAAACAAAAACATTTCTTCTCAAGTTTTTACATGAACGCATTCAAATATGACAATTGTAATTATTGTTATTCGTAATTACCTTTAGGTAATTACGAATAACAATAATTGTTTTCATTTGATGAAATAATGCTGATAACATATATCTTTAATACTAAAATCAAATATTGCTAAATCCTCAAAAATGCGCCTCCATATGCGGTTATGCCCCCCACTTTTTCTACTTTAGTTTTTGGTTTAAAATACGTTGGTAAAATTGTTTATGTTTACAAACGAGTTTTTTTTATTAGAATTTTTAGACAATTCGGTTTATCTAATTTTGTTATTGTAAAATTTTTGCATACTAAATAGTTGTAAATATGATTGTTGTAAAGGTGAAATGAAACTGAGAAACGTGAAGACGGTCTTATCACAGAGCACCGCGAAAGAGCATTTAACAAGTTAAAACATTTTTGTATTTTGTATCATATTTAAGTCTCCTAGGAAAAAAAAAAAAAAGGTTCTTTATTTCTAAGATATTTTAGGACTTTCAGATTTTCTACCCCCCTCCCTCCCCCGCACACACACATACACACACATCCTGAATCTTATAATTTTGTAATAAGACTAAAATAGTTATTATATATATATATATATATATATATATATATATATATATATATATATATATATATATATATATATATATATATATATATATATATATATATATATATACATTTATATATATATATATATATATATATATATATATATATATATATATATATATATATATATATATATATATATATATATATATATATATATTTATTATTATTTTAGGTCTTTATTTTTATTTTATTTACTTTTTTTATTATTAGTTTTTGGATAAGTGTGCAACTGCTGTGAAAATTTTGTAAAATTTGCAGGCAATCAGAAAGACTTTAATTCCTTCATTTCTTTAATTCTCTAACTTGTTTCTGAAGCTGTGCTAAAATAAAAAATTCTCTCAGTTTATTAAATTTCGTTTCTTATCTCAGAAATATGGTCCTTGAGATGTGGGAAAGTCTAGCATTCCACTTCTAATGAGTCTGAGCATATAAATATACATTTATAATGAGCATATAAATATACATTTATAAGAGCATATAAATATACATTTATAATTATTATTAAATCTCTTTTATAAAAGTAAAGCAATCTGCCAAAAACTTTTTCACTTTTTTAAAGACTTTGCTTAATTTAAACCAAATAAAACAAATATAAGGAAACTAAAAAAGATAGAAGTTTGTAAAGTCTCCTGATTTTATATTTGCATAAGATTGTGAAGTGTTATTTTTGTATTTACTGTATCTACTTACCTAGTTCATAAAACTTTTTTTATTTCTTTCCACAATTAAATGAAAACAAACAAACACAAACAGTTTATTAACCAAAAATTATATATATTATTAACATGGCAAAGTCTTTAAAAACTGTTTCTCGATTTGGATAACCACACTCTTCCTGTCATTTCAGTTAAAGAGATTAAAAAACTGTCTTATTAAATTATGAAAAATATGTGGAAATTATATTAAATTATGAAAAATATGTGGAAATTATATTAAATTATGAAAAATATGTGGAAATTATATTAAATTATGAAAAATATGTGGAAATTATATTAAATTATGAAAAATATGTGGAAATTATATTAAATTATGAAAAATATGTGGAAATTATATTAAATTATGAAAAATATGTGGAAATTATATTAAATTATGAAAAATATGTGGAAATTATATTAAATTATGAAAAATATGTGGAAATTATATTAAATTATGAAAAATATGTGGAAATTATATTAAATTATGAAAAATATGTGGAAATTATATTGGCACTGACTATTACTCTTATTGACATATAATGTGATAAATATAAGGGTTAGAGTTGATCAGGTATTTTTTAGGTAGGAGAAGGTAGAATGAGACATATCGATACATATCTAAACGAAATGACAGAACATCTTTATTAAAAGCAAAAGTTTTATTATTATCAATTAGTGAAAGTGATTTTATTGCTTCTTTAGGCCGTGTTGTACATGTGTTCTATCTAACAAATGGGCTCAGTCAGTTGTTTCAAAAAAAAAAAAACGTTTAAATTTACATAAATTAAAATATTGCGATTAGTAGATGTCATTATTTTAAAACAACAAAGAAAAATTGCGAAGAAGTGTTTAAGGAAATTTTTAGAGCATCAGACAAAACAATAACTAAAAAAAGTGTTAGTTTTACCGTCAGAATATACATTTAAAAAGAATGAAAGAATATTACGGGCGATCAATTTATACTCCTCTTCTTGATGTGCTAATATTGAACATAAATTGGTTTATGTTCAATATTAGCACAATCCAGTGGCGGATTAAGACTTTTTGGGACCCGCGACTATTTTTGTTTTTGGAGGCCTTTTTATGGGTCAGACCCTAAAAATGACTTTAAAAAAAAAAAAAAAAAGATCCTCTAAAATATTAGGAAGCCCCAAAATTTGAGTGCCACTCCCCCTCCCTTGATTGAATTGAAAATTTCTAGTATTCTTAAATTTATTCTTTGGTGTTAAAAAAGATAATTGCATTAAATCATAATTATTAGGTATTGTCAAAATTGATAATTATAGATATTTTCAAAACTGTTTTTGCAATCAGTTATGTCTATAGCGTCATTCTTGGGCTTTATATCCAACACTTGTCTGTATCTGAATTTACATTGGAAGTTAAACTATGCATATAATGTATGATGGAGGAATCACATCACTGTCTAGTGATTTTTCTGTTGTTTTTGAGTCGTGTTACCAGATACAATATCCAATCACTCACAAGTTGTTTTAGATTATTAAATTATGTCCTGTAAGTGTTGCCAGTCCTAAACGTAACTTCTCAACACTGCAAAAAATTAAAAACTGGCTGAAAACACAAATGATAGAAAGAAAACAAGTTTGATTGGTCTTAATTACTGGGAAATTCATGTAAATTTTAAAAACGTGATTGACCGTTTTGTCGGCAAATTATAAATTAGACAACAAATTAAAAATATAACTTGTTGTTGAAATAATCAACAAATCAAGGTTTTAAATGCGCATTTAGTTACGCAACTAAATTCTCTTTGTTAAATAGTTGTCTTAAATTACTTCAAGATTTATATTTTATATTTTATATTTTAGTCAACCTTGCATGCATTTTTTATAAGGGATGCAAACACCAACTATCTTATATTTTTTATAAGGGATGCAAATCAAAAAAATAATTTAAATCATGTAAGAGGGAACAACTGCCCTAAACAAGAGAGCAACAAGTTGAAAAATATACTTTTGTATTCTTAAATAAATTTATATACATCGATAAATTCTAAAATTCTTAATTTTTATGCAAGTCATCTTTTGATATAAGTATAAAGATTTTTGGAGTTTTTTCCATGTCTGGAAGTTAGCTCAAACATCACGCTAGTTTTAATAAGCATGTGCTTTGTAACAATAGAAGTCCCTTAGGTAGTTTAGGTAGTTAGGTGTAACTTTTTTAAAAGTTTTCTTTAACTTTAAAAATATATTTAATGCTTTCTAAAAATCTTGAAATTTTAATCTAGAAACAATTTAGTTCTTGAAATAAAAAGTTGAATTAAAAACGTTACAAAGTTTGAAAAATAGAAACTTTGAAAAAATATATATTTAGAGCCGTTCAAAGTTTGTTAAAAACTATAATTGGAAGCAGATCTTTATTTTTCTATCATTTTTAGTCGTATAAATTTCCTTAAAGAGTTTGAATGAGCTAAAACTAAGTTAAAAGAAAGAAAGTAGTTTAAAAAAATGTGTGCGGTTTTAAAAATATAGAATTACGACAATAAAAAAAAAAAAATCCATCTATGCGCAGGCACAATATAAATTTTAGCGGGGGATATTATTACTTATTTATTTTGTCAGTAAAAAAGTATACAATGCTGTGTTTTATAAATAAAATTTACATGGCTGGGGCTAAAATATGACAATATTTGTCTTACCACGACGCCCCGAAAAATAGACTGGGGCTAAAATAAGACAATATTTGTTTTATCACGTCCCCACGAAAAATATTTAGTTTTTGTAATATTGCAGATGTTTTTAAAATTAAATTTGCAATTTAGTTTTTTCGGAATATTATGAAAAATGCCATTATTATATAAAAGCTGAATTTTTTTAACAAAAGTAAAAATATTTTGGAATATTTAAATTGCTAAAAAATGCGATACATTGACACCATACTTTTACACCATTTATGTTCAACTTTTTTTATCTTTCAACTTTTTTTATCTTTCAGTTTACATCGGCTACATGTCGTGTCATTAAAACTGAAAATCTGGAAGTAGATTATAAAGATTCGCCAGAACCATGGAAATTTACAATATTTATATTATAGGGGAGATTGGTCTATAACGGGCCCCTCGGTTAAAACGGGCCCCACGATTGGCACGACACCAAGCGGATTTTTTCGGTGACTCTGAATGCAAATAGAACCAGCTTAGTTTAATGAATATGCATGATTGTTTACATTGCGTTAATAATTGACAGGGTCTTGTAAAAACGTGTCGAATCAATTATATCAATTTCTCTTGTTTTATTTGACGTTACGAAATCACAGACCTACAAGTCATATCGTCATATCGAGTTACAAGGTAGGGCACTATTGCTTTTGTTTTTTTGTTACGATTACTCAGGAAATGAGCGATTTCATGTGTTTTTTATCGGAACGTTACAACATGAGGATTTTGTAATGGCCTTATCAGTGTCTAAAACGGGCCCGCTATGGGCCCATTTTAGACCAAAGGGCCCGTTTTAGACAGCTGATGCAGGCATTGACTTCTTAAGGTGGTTCATCACAAAATAAATGTGAATAAATTATTTTTTTTAAGAAAAATTATTTTCATCTTTTCTGATAGAAAATATTATTATTTTTTAGTTTTTTGAAAAAAATTCTACATTTTGTTTTGTATATTTTGTGATATTTAACTTTTTACCTAGGTATATTATCAAATAGTTCCTTAGCAACGCCTTAGTTACCGTTTTGAACAACTACAAACCTATCTAGTTCATACTATGAACTTCATATGTAATATTGTTTAATGAGAGGTCTTCAAATTATAAATTTGTCTGAATCTGTTATGTAAAATATAACTAAGTTTAAACTGCATTATGGGATATATCAACATAAAAAAGTCGTTTAAAAGTGTGCTTATTTAAATAAATTTGGTGTGTTATTAAAATAATTTCTTTTGATTTTCTTGTTGTTTTAAAGTAAATTAATGGTACTATTAATCAAGGGTGTATGTCTTTGAATGTTTCAAATTAATGTATAATCTACTATTATTACAGATTAATAGCACATTATGTAATTGTATTGTGCTTTGTTTCAGCTTCTTCAATAAAATGGGACGGTATAAAAGAACAACTGAAAGACAAACGTGGTCAGAGACAGGTATGGTCAAAGCAATTGAAGCATTACGTACAAAAACAATGGGATTAAAGAAAGCCTGTAAACTTTTCAGCGTACCCCGTTCAACACTTCAGCGGAGGTACAAGTCAAGTCTAGCAAGTGGAGCAGCAGCTGCAAAAAGACTCGGCTCAAGGTGCAATGTATTCGATACGGAAACTGAACTGGAACTTGTTCAGCATATAAAAACCATGGAAAGTATGCTTTTTGGTTTCACACCTAAGCGCTTACGAAAACTCGCATATCAACTAGCGAAAAGTAACAATATCCATGAAAGATTCAGTTCTGTCAAAGAAGAAGCAGGTCTGGACTGGTATAGAGGATTTATGTCACGACATCCAGACCTGTCTTTAAGAATGCCAGAGCCAACTTCTTCGGCACGGGCACAAGGCTTCAACAAAGTTGTTGTTGACCAGTTTTTTGATTTGCTCACTGAGTTACAGACAAAGCACCACTATAGTCCAGACAGGGTATACAACTGTGACGAGACTGGTTTCACAACTGTGCCGAACAGACCTTCCAAGGTGATAGCAGCTCGGGGCAAGAAGCAAGTTGGCAGCTTGAGTTCGGCAGAACGTGGTCAGTTAGTGACAGTGGAAATATGCATGAGTGCATCAGGTAATTTCATCCCTCCTATGTTTGTGTTTCCGAGATGCCGAATGAAGCCTGAGTTACTTGATGCTGCACCACCAGGATCCATCGGTGTAGCCCATCCGTCTGGTTGGATGCAAACTGATTTGTTTCTGAAATGGTTTGAACATTTTGTATATCACAGTCATTCGTGTGCCGATTCACCAGTACTGTTGATCCTTGATGGACATAAAACCCACACCTTAAATCTTGATGTTATCAATCTTGCTCGTGAAAAGTGTGTTTCTCTCCTATGTTTACCACCTCATTGCAGCCATCGGCTACAACCATTAGACGTAAGCTTGATGAAACCACTCAGTACGTATTACACTCAAGAAGTTGAGAAGTGGTTACTTGTTCACCCAGGTAGAATAGTGACTACTCTGCAATTACCTGCGCTCTTCCGAGAGGCTTATCTTCGTGCAGCCAGTGCTCTGACTGCAGTCAATGGGTTTAGAAAAACTGGTATATGGCCAATCAATCGTGATGTCTTTCAAGATGCAGACTTTGCTGCTTCATTGCCTACAGATATTCCAAGATTGGAACATGAAGCAACTGGCAGCAATACAGAGTTGGTTGCTGGTGAAGTTTCACCAACAGGCGAATATGTTGAACTCATTATAGAGAAAACTGGCATGCCTATTGAGATTCTTCAGATACCAGTGTTGCAGTCACAACCACTAATTCGGCATATTGGTGAAGGGGCATCTCAACCCACATCACACGAGTCAGGCATGGAGCAACTCGATGATGTTGATCAGTTAATTCTTCAGGTTATTTCTCCGATAACAATGGAGCTGACAGAAGGACAAGTTGGTGACATCGCCTCTCTACTTACATTGGTCGAGCCAGTTCTACAGCAACCCGGTGGCGGTGATGTTGATTCTTTAGTTTCTCCGACAACAATAGAGTTGATAGAGGCACAAGTTGGTGACAGTTCATCTTCACCAAGATTGGTCGAGCCAGTTCTGCAAAAACCCTGTGATGCTGACGGTGTCGGTTTAAATACACCAACAGCTGTTGGTTGTCGAAACGCTCTTGAACATAAACCTAAAGTCCGTGTTTTGCAAATTTCGCCTTTACCAAAAGTGGAAGTGGGCAGCATTCGCAAAACATCGAAATCGAAAGGTAAAACTGCTATTTTGACTGCCAGTCCTTACAAGCAAGGCTTAGAAACAAAAAAGCGTTTGGCTGAAGAGAAGATAGCTGCAATGGAGGCTAAAAAAGTGAAAAAAGCTCTTGCGGCAGCAGAAAAAAACAAGAAGACTAGCAAAACGAAAGAAAAGAAGCCTAAATCTGCACTAAATACAAACCAAAAAAGAGGAGTGAAACAGACTGGGCCTATCCAATCAGTTTGTCCAGAATGTGGAATCATGGAAAAATCTGTCGAGGATAAGGTGAAGGCGTGTGACTGGATTTCATGCAAAACCTGTCTGACATAGTACCATGAATCGTGTGCAGAAGTGAATGGAGTATTTGATGACGATTACTTTTTATGTGTTCAATGTTGTGAGTAGCACCACATGCTACTCGTTTGAACGTGAACTTTCTATTGCTAACTGTTCATCATGAATAGATCTAACTGTAAAACCTATTCACGAAGCTGCAGAAGTGAAATGTATTCATCGTTATTAATAGCTTAATAGTTAGTTTTTGTGTTGAAATGATGAGTTGTTTATTGTTCAGATCTTGCTATTGCATGATAGTATCCTGATAGCGTAGACGCAAAATTAACAAGTTATCATTTGAATAATGTTCTGATCTGATTTTGTCACTGACAGAGCACAAGGTTAAAACGGGCCCGGGGCCCATCTTAACCTGGCCAGTTAAAATGGGCCCGGGCCCGTTTTAGGCTTAGCTATGGGATAAAATGGGCCCCTAATCACAAGTTTTAAAAGTATGATTAATTAATTAGTTTGTTATATTAATCCAACTGATTATGACCCATTAATTACATTGTCATCTAAGTTATGCTATTCTTGCATTAGGCATTCAATACTGGTATCTATATCGGGAAAAAATGAACTTCTATGCTAAGGGGCCCGTATTAGACCACGCTCCCCTAATATAAATATTATATAATATTATATAATATAAATATTATATAATATTTATATTATAATATTTATATTATATAATATCATATAATATAAATATTATATAATACTATATAATATAAATATTATATAATATTATATAATATTTACATTATATAATATTATATAATATAAATATTATATAATACAAGTAGTATAAAACTTAAAATGATTGAAATGTTAAATTATATGGTTAAAATTGTTAAATTTATATTTGGTTAAAATGGTTAAAATTATATTTCAAAAATATTTTAATATATTATCCGTTAAAAAAGTTTGTATTTTTTAATTTATTTTCTTAAAAACTGGAAAAGAGAGAGACAAATAAGAATTGGGCTGACCCTTTTTTTCAAAGAAAAGATATACAAAATTGATTAAACTTAATTTGACAAAGGGGGTTCGTTGAAATTGTTTTCAATGTGCAAACTATATTTATTATTTACTTTAACCGTACATAGATCTTTAAAAACATTTAGTAGTAAGCTATTCATACAATAATACGTAAAGCATAAGGTTTCAAAATCAATCTTAAGTTCATAAATGTTTAAAAAATTCATATCTTAAAACAAAGGTTTCTGAAAAACAATTTTTCTCTGATCTCGACACCAAAACACGAGCCTCGTTTGTCTTTAACTGAATTGAGTTATATTGAGCGTTGAGAGTGGAGTAGTGTAAAGATTGGTATATTATATAAGGACTATTTTTTAAAAACAAACAATTACCACCGCTAAAATAAAAATTAACACAAAATTAAAAAAAACTGTAGATGGTTGTAAATGTAATATTTTTTTTAGATGACCTTTAAAGGACCTTATGGTCTTGTCACAGAGCACCGCAAAAAAGCATTTAACTAGAAAGGTCAGGCTTCTTTTTTTTACCTTTGTCCCAAAATATGCTCAGAGCTTGCCTTGATCTCTAGCTTCTGCGCTCTAACTACTATGTAACGGCTGCTTATACTTAGTGCTCAAATAATGTACATAAATTTCCATATGGGATTGTTGTTTACCAATCATAATGTATGATTGTAGTATTTATTATTATGACGTGTAACTATATTTAAAGGCTAAACAAAAATGCCAAAAACAAGTGTTACACAGAAGTACTTTAGTAAAGTTGATGCTAAAAAGGCAAACTGTAAGGTTATGGGAAAACGTTCTCAAGAAAAAACTAATCACAATCAAAGAAACTTTGAAGTTTCAAAAATGGGCCATTTATTTTAAATGTAAAATTTGCATTTAATAGCTTCGTTGAACGTAACTTATTATACCCACAATCGCTATCAAAACAGTGAGTTTTTTAGGGAGAGGGGCTGGGTTAAAAACAATTCTAGTAGAATCTTATTGAACGTTTTTTAAATTATATCTAATGTGAGATAACCATTAAATAGATGGCACTTTAACATATTTTTATTCTTTTAAAATCTGCGTCATCATATGAGAACCATGTTATATTCTAGTTAAAAATAAATAAAAAATATTGAAACGCAAAAATATTCCTATACATTTTAATCACTTAAAAATTGCTTAAATTGAACTGCAAAAAGTTCAAAAGTAGCAACTTACTAGGTTGAAAAGTAGGTGAAAAGTAGGTTGCTACTTTTGAACTTTTTGTACACTTTTTAACTCTTGTACCATGTCTATAGCCTTTTAAGTACACTCTAAAAAGGCTTTAGAAATAGTGCAAGAGTTAACAGATGTGGTGCAAGAGTGTAACAGACATGGTGCAAGATTGTAACTGACGTGGTGGGAAAAAAGCTGCGATTAAGCTGATTTTAGAATCACTTAAGTTGATTTAAAATTAGTAACTATTTTTATTAAAATAGAATAGTTTATACAATTTAAGTATAAAACAATTATAACTAATTGTAATATGAGGCTGGTAAAAAATAAACAGTTATTATTAACTGTAATATGAGGCCTGTGCAAACAGTTAGCTTGCTGGTATTTCACAGAAAATTGATCCTAGATCATCTAAAAAAATAATAGCCAATGAAGTAAAAAGTATACACGAAATGAAACGTCTACCAAAAATCTTTGTAAAAAGTTACATGTTTGATAAAATATCAATGTCTGATTTAAGAAATTGAAGATTTTTCCCTACCAACAACATTATTCGATCGCATATGGTACAAGCACAAAAGAAATTACAACTTTTATTTACCAGGAATGCCTTCTTGATAAAATAAAGATGTGACAAACAGCCACACTACTATGTGGCAAACACGTTTTTTGCCTAAAGCTCCACCATCAATTTAAATAAAACCCTCACCGTAACATCCCTAGTATAAACTTACAAAGACATTAATACATAAAAAAACGTGTTAATTTAGTTCAATACACCTATTCGATCAGAAAAATGCGTATAAATTTTGAGGCCTGGACTCAAATTATGTGGGTAAATTGAAATTCAATTATTCAATTATTATTTCAAGGTATACAAGGGCGATTCTAGCTAAAGTCAGAGAGAGGGGGCTAAAAAGTATTTCTCAAAATTAAAAATTACCTTACTGAAATCCAGAAATCAGTAAAAATCTGAAAAATCTAACTGTAACTTGAAAATAGCCTCCTTAGGAGGGCGGAGGAGGCGGGGGTGGAGGAGGTAAGATTGTGACACCCTACATAAACCTACCGTATAATCGCCTCTAGGTATACACATAAGTTTCTTTATCATCATTGCTTTTAACTAAACCAGCTGTTATTAAAAAAAGTAATCTACGCAAATAATGTTTATATAGTTTATCAGAGGCAACCAATCTAATAAATAGTTTACTTGAGTCAACCAATCAAATAAACAGTTTACTAGAGTCAATCATTAAAACATCAACTGTGAACAATTTTAATAGCAAAATTTAAAATTCTTCTTAAATATTTTTCTAATAAACACTGCCAATCTTATTTCAATTTAACATTAGCAAATATTGCGCAATAGTTATTTATTTATTTAAAAAAACAAGGCTGTCACTTTTGGGTAAATATTTTTTAATTAAAGGCTGTCATATATAAAAGGCTGTCATAGGTTTATTATGGGATTTAATCTTAATACACTTTGTCAACTGGGCAAACACAAAAATAACTTTAAGTAATTTTAATGCTAAATTTGTTCCTTCACCGGTTTTGTTGACAATTCTATACAATATGGGATGGGTAATTATCTATAAAACTAGCATTTTTTTACTTTGAAAAATTACTAGCGCGCTCTGAAACAGCGTGCTAGTAAAACTCGTAAAAACTAACATATTAAATTATTATAATATATTTTTATAATAGTATATAATTATACTATTACAATATGCTAACGTCAATCCATTATTGATTAATGTTTGCTGTTTAAGATTGATTTGTTTGACTTTGTTATGTCGTTCTCGGTTTTCTTTAAGCTTTTTAGCTTTAGGTTTGTGCTTGTACGTCATCATTTTCAAGAAAATTTTACTTTTAATATTTATTTAATTTAATTAACTTCCTTATCAATTTCATATTTTTTTTACAAAACATTACCTTAGTAACACTTCTAATAATCAAAACAGCAAAAGAAAACAAAATATTTTTATTTAAAAATAAGTTTTAAGAGATTTAATCAAGCCATAAGTTCAACAATGTTTTGGTTTTGTTGAAGTTTGATTTTGAACTTAACAAAAAGCGCATTGCATTCTGACGTCATTTTTATACAACTAAAAATATACGCTTGTAAAGCAAACAAAACCTGTTTTTTGCTTATGACTAACAAGATTTAATAATTTATGTAATGTTTCGAAAATAAATTATTAAAGTAAATTTTCTATTTTTATTGAATTGGAAAATAACTTTAATGGAATTATATTATAATTTCACGAATGAGCTTAACATAAACATGTGTCAGGGACGACGACACCAGGGGGCCGAGGGCACACACACATTTTTTTCTGTTTTTTTTTTTTTTTTAATGAAAAATTTAAACTTTTTTAGAAATTATCAGTTGTGTCCCTCCATCGAGTTGTTTACAAATAATAATTTGCACGCCTAAAATGTTTCGGAATAATATTCTAGAAAATACAGTTAATATAATGTTTATTTTCATAGGTTATAATGCCGGTGAATAAGAAGTACAATTCCGGGAATTATATATATATATATATATATATATATATATATATATATATATATATATATATATATATATATATATATATATATATATATATATATATATATATATATATATATATATATATATATATATATATATATATATATATATTATATGTGATGTCCGAAGAATTTAACAAATATTTTATAAATATTGGTCCAAATCTTGCTAATTAAAGTCCAACATCTGATTCATTTAAAAACTACCTTAAAACCAACAAATAATGCTATCATGTACGATAATGAATTCAACTATAAAGAGTTTGAATAAGCCTTTTCCTTGTTAAATAAAAAAAAGCACCAGGATTCGATGAAATAACTAGTGATTTAGTTATCTTTAATAAAACTAGTATAAGCAGACCTCTGATCCATATACTTAAGCTCTCAATAACATCTGCGATTTTCCTTGATGTTTTTTTTGTTTTTTTAGTTATCTTCGCTTCCAACAAGGCTGCAAGCAACCACTAATTAGTGTTGGAAGTTACCGGAACAGAAAAGATGAAGATTGTAGAGCAAGATAACGTTTGACAGACGACTTAAAAGATTGCAAATTATATGAATCAGGAAAGCAAGATAAAGGAAGCGAATTCCAAAGAACTGATGTTCGAGGAAAAAAACTAGACGAATAAGAGTTTTTGGAGCACTTAGGAACAGTAAAAGAAAAAGAATGAGACTTAATTGAATGACGAGTAACACGAGAATGAATTTTAGTAGATTGCACAAGAGACGCTAGCTCTTTCGAGCAGTGCTCATTATAGTATTTGTAGAAAAGAGAAAGAGAAGCAACATTACGACGATGTGACAGAGGTTGAAGGTTGGCTGCAAGAGCAGGTCCAACTATGTTTACAATGCGTTTTTGCACCTTGTCTAAAAGAGAAAGGGCATCATTAGAAGATTCGCCCCAGATATGGTAACAGTATTCCAAACAAGGCCGGATTTGAGATTTATAGAGAATAGAATCCAGAGTAAGAAAGTGACGAGCTCGATAAATAGAAGCAACTTTACAAAATGTAATTTTGCAACGGATTTGATATAAGGTTTCCAAGAAAGATCAGAAGTAAGAGTTAATCCTAGAAGATGAAGGGTAGAAGACTCATTGAGTACATTACCGTTCATAAATATAGGAAGGTCTAAACTATTGCGATAACGATTGCCCGAAAAAAATTGAGTTTTATGTGATTAAGTCTTTGTTAATTAAAGATTCAAAAAACTTGCTTATGATGAAAAAAAACTAATGGGACGGTAGTTAGACAAATCGGATCGCTCTCTAGAATTTTTAAAAATAGGGATAACAGATGCTGCTTTCCAGCAGTTTGGAAAATAAGACTCTGATAAGCACTTGTTGAATAGTTTTGAAAGGATAAACGACAGCTCTGGAGAACACTTTTGCAAGACTATAAAAGGTATGTTGTCCAGGCCGCAAGCTGTAGAAGAGTCAAGCAGGAAATCACTTTAGATACAGAAGCTGGAGTGATACGAATGTCGAGCAATAGATCAACCTGTTTGACGGCTACATCAGGTAGAATGCAACTAGTGACATCAAGGGATGATATTGATGAAAAGTTCTTGGCAAACAATTCAGCTTTGTCTTTAGGTGTGGTGACAAAGTCTGAACCATACAAAAGAGGTGGAATTACAGACTTGCCCTTATTATTGATACTATTAAAGATTCTCCAGAAGTCACGAGAGCCTAATTTTTGTGATGAAATACGAGATTTCATGATCTGAGAATAGCGGGCTTTGGCATTAGACAAAACCATTTTACAATGGTTCCTAGCAGTAATAAACAGACGTCTGTTTTCTGGAGAATTGTTTTGCTGATAGATATGGAAGTAATGGTTTCGATTGGCAATTGCAGCAGCACAATGTGAGGAAAACCATGGAGAAGAGTGAGGCTTGACCTGGAATCGTTGAGAGGGAATAAAGGATTCCATGCCGGCCTAAATCCACGAAGTTATGTAAGAAGCACATTTGTCAACAGGGAGACGAAAGATTTCTACCCAGGGGCCATCACGAAGAAAATCACGGAAAGAGTCCCAGTCAGCTTTAAGGTAGTTGTAAGATGTACGATGATAGGGGATGGTAAAGAAGAATGAGATAATAGTTTTAGAGAGACCAAACCGTGATCAGAAACACCTAAGGGTGAGTGTGAAGAAACTGAGCACTGACTAGGATCAGAAACAAGACATAAGTCAAGTAGAGAATGTAAATGATTCGGGTTGTCTGGAAAGCGAGTTGGAAAGTTGACTATTTGAGTTAAGGATTGAGAAAGACAAAAGTTGTGGGCCTTAATGCCTGCAGAGTCACTGACACTAGAGCCAAGTCATTCAGTGTGATGAACATTAAAATCACCGACAACAACAATATTGGCTGATGGATAAAGAGAGAGGGCTTGGTCAATATAATCAGAAATAACATCAAGAAGAGTGCAGTCTTGAGATAAAGGAGAGCGATATAGTACAAAGAGAAAGGTGATAGAGTAAAGTGGTGCTAAACGAAAACACATAAAAGAGTAGTCTGTGGATTCAAAACTAGTTTCCCGTCAAATGGGTGAATTCTTACGAATGTAAATGCCTAGGCCAAGCATGTGACTATTGGAGTCTTTACGAGTTAAAGGAAGATAGCCATCAACACTAAGATCACAAGATGAGACAGCTGAACTCAAATTAGTCTCACAAAGAGCAAGTAGGTCAGGTGAACTTTCCAAGAGATAAGACTCAACAGAAGAAAAGTTACTTCGAAGACCACGAATATTGGTCAATATTAAGTCAAGTAAGTGTATAACTTTGTTTTGACACTCTAATCGACTCCAATTTAAATGTGATCTGAAAAGTAGTTTATTGTTTAGAAAAAGAAAAGCAACCGTTTCCAATGGAAAAAGGAAGTGAGTTTGGCTTTAATTTGATAAATAGTTAAAAAAAAATTGTTTGCTAAAATTTATTATATCAATTATTGAATCATTAGATACAATGTTAAATTTTACAATTAAAAAAAATTTAAACAAAAACGTTTTCAATATTCTAGAGTATCAACGCAAGTCGCTTCGGTATCTTGTTGAAATTAGAGATCTTCTTTCAAAATTAGTAGAGGTTAAGGACCCAGAAAATAGTAAATTTCATATCGAAAAAATTAATAACTCTGACCAACTCGATGAACTAGAAGAAGCTATCAAGGATGATGTGCAGCGAAAAGCAATTGTAAGCTTTTTTTTTTATATATATGTTAATTAATAATATTGACTTTTTGGTAATATTGACTTTTTTAAATTGTGTTATCATTGCAATTATAATGATTTTTATTTCTTGCAATAATGTAATTATTAAAGAGATAAAAATGATTTTTTAATACATAAAAAATAATGGATATTGAATAAAGCATACACATCATATCTTTTAAACAGTCTATTTAGAAAGGGGTTAAAAACTTCTTAAATAAGCTTTAAATAACGTTTTTTTTTAGTTATCTAAACTGAAGAATATTGGTGGTGTGGATATGGCAGATTGTACCAGAAATATGTTGGGAAAGTATGTTTTATTTTCTATTTTTAATTAAGAAAGCATAATTTTTGTAAAAAAATGTAAGATATACGATAAATAATATGTAGATTTAATATATAGAATAATATACACATTTTTTAAAATGAACATACAAATGAATAAGGATTTTAATTTAGAAACTCAGTGTATTGAGGTAAAATCCAAAGAAAAATATAGCGTTTTCACTTTTTGTTTTCCAAAAAATCACTACTTACTTTTTATGCGTTCTGATTGATTTGTTTTAAAACAATTTGTTGCAGCTTTTTTTTAAATTACATTTTTTTATACAATAACAGTTAAAATAAGCGGTAAACAAGAATGAATTTAACAACATTCAGATCTCACCTTCAGATCTTACCTTTAATATTTTTTCGATTTTAGATTATTTTCCGTAAACCTGATGGCGAATATGAACATTAAAGGGAGTAAACGTAAAGGCAGAGAAAACAAAATATCGTTTGAAAACCTTAAGTTAAAGGACGTTATGTTTGGTGAGATACAATTTATATTGTACATAGTCATTTTTTTCAAAAATGATAAATGCGACACTTAAGTGTCGTATTCAACTATATATATATATTAAGCTGACGATATTTTTAATTTTAAATATTTTTGCTTAACTTATTTTAGAAGCGTTACAAGACAGGTATACCGTTAGTGAAAAAGAATTATTTAGAGTTGTCGGGAATAAACTAAAGAATGCACCAGGAAGATTGAACCATTCCATTGATATCTAACATTTATATTATATTATATGTATATAGTTTATGTTATAGTATATAGTTACTTTTTTTAAATAAATAAACAATAATATTATACAATTCAAAATGTTTTAATGTTCTTTTAAGCTTGGTTTCCAATAGTTGTAGAAATGTTGTACAACAGTTCTGTAACAACTTTGTTTTATAATGGAAACGTTGTCTAGCATAGTTGCACAAATTAACGTCGGTTGTACAACACAATTTTTGTGGTAAAACAATGGCTGCGAAGATAGAAATTAATCTATTTCCGCAATAATTATACAACGGTAGATAATACAACAATCTACTCTTCATTTTGCGAACATGTATTACAGATTTGACATCTATAAATAAACAGATTTGCATTTAATACAGAAATTATAGAAACCTAATAATTTTAAATACGTCTTATATACGTCTATTATCAACGCATTTTATTTATCTAATTAATACGAATTATAGATTTGCATTTAATACTTAAATTATAGATATCTGAGACGTATTTTAAATACGTATATTATACGTCTATTACCAACGCATTGTAATCATCTAATTAATACGTATTATAGATTTGCATTTAAGAATTAGAATATACGTATCGAAGAGTAGGACAAAGACGTATTTTATATGTATAATATACGTATTTTTCCTTGCTGGGTAGGCTCGAATAAGCCATTGCCTAGGGGCTCCCTATAATTAGGGGTTCCCTAAAATTTTAAAAACGTATTTTTTAATTCGAATAATAATTTAATATAATATTTATTTGTGAATTAATTAATGATCCAAATAATGCGGTTTATGTATAAAAATACTTAAAATATTTCTGTGCAAGGTTATACTGCTATTAAGCAGCCTATCTTTAATTTTTTGCGTTCTTATCTCTAGAAACTTGAAAACTTTCAGAATGTTTAGGAAAAGTGAAGTATATAAATTTCAAAGTATACTTTGAAATTTATATAGTATAATTATTAAAATATAAACTATATTTTAATAATTATATTATATAATATAATTATTAAAATATAAATTTCAAAGTATACTTTGAAATTTATATTTTAGTAATTTTAAGTTAAGAAATTTCAAACTACCTAGGAAAAAAAGTTCTATAGAATTTTCTATAAACTTTTGAAACATATGCCCAATAGAAACTCTATAGAATTTCTATAGAATTTCTATAGAATGTCTATTAATTTCTATAGAAATTGCAATAAAACTTCTTTTTCTATTAAAAAAAAAATAGAAAAAAAAATTTCAATAGGAATTTTTATAGAAGCTAACAGAAACTCTACAGAAATTCTAAAGAATTCTATAGCATTTCTATAGGTCATATGTTTCAAAAGTTTATAGAAAATTATATGGAACTTTATTGCAACATTTTCAATTTTTAGTTTAGACTAAAAATTGAAAATGTTGCAATAAAGAGTTGTTTATTTATGCATTATCTTAGATTAAACCATGCCAAGATCTTTCCTTTGTAGCTCAAACAAAAGACTAATTATGTTGCCGATTTAGCGAAAATTGCGCAATTAGCTTCATTTTTCCAAAGGTCTGTTCCCCCATCTCTATCATCCAGTGAAAAAATTGAAACTGTTAGTAATGAAATTGTAAGAAATTTCAAATGATCTTGTCAAAATTATTCAGAACGTTTGAGTGTTCCCATACATTATACAACAAAGAATCCAAGACATTGTTCAGAGAGCACATTTTATGGTAAAAAAACAAATGGTGAAAGGTTTTTACAAGAATGGCTCATTTATTCCCCAACAACTGGTTGTGTGTACTGTTTCCCTTGTAAACCTTTTGTGTCAAAAAAAAAATCAAACAAACTCACTAGCAATGAATTTAATGATTTGAAGAATGTTTTTTATATACATTAACATGAAAATGGATCTCTTCACAGAAAATGTATGTTAACATATATTCTGAGAAAACAAAACTCTGTTCTGTTTGACACCCTTCAACTTCAATTCTAAGCATAAAAAAATTACTGGAAAGAAGTATTGAAAGGTCATACACTAGTCATTATGACGTTATCTGAACAAGGTTTACCTTTTCGCGGAACAAACGAGCATTTTGGTGTTTCAGATAATAGGAATTATCTAAGTTTGCCAGAACTTGTGGCTCAGTTTAACCCATTTTTGAAAAAATTATATCGCAACATATGCGGATAAAGGTAAAGAAAATCCATTTTACTTCTCATAAACAATATGCGAGGAGTTGATTAATACGATGGGAGAAAAAGAGATTTTAGTTGCTCGCTATTTTAGTGTTTCAGTCAATTCAACTCCAGATATTGCTCACATTGACTAACTGAGTATAGCAGTTCGATACGTTTCGCCTAAGTACACAAAGCCAGTCGAATGATTTTTAATATTTTTAATTTTGAAAAGTCATGTCGATGTGGTAATTGCAGAACAGGTTTTAAAATTTTTAGGCGAGACTTGTCACTTAGATTTTATATATTGTAGAGGTCAGTCTTACGACAATGCCGCAAATATGTCGGGAGTATACAGAGGGGTGCAAAGCGATCATGTGTAATCTCAATGAGCATGCGGTATATATATCTTCTAAAGAACTTCATGCCCCGTACGTGATATTAACTGCTCAATAAAATTTTCGAGTTTATAGAAACTATTGATTAGCTTAAAAGAGAGATTAATGAGCGAAGCAAAATTTACTTAGTGGTTGCGGAGATGTTTTCTTTTTTGGATAACTTTGAATTTTCGGAAAATGACTACCGGTAGAAGGTTTCTTATTTTAGTTGAATTTTATTCTAACGATTTAGAAGTATAAAAATACAGAATTGAGGCAATATCACAGATACGTCAAATTAAAATATGCATCAAAAACTCAATTAACTGAGATTTTTTTTTTTAAGTTCAGAATAAGAGAACTAGTTCTCTTATTCTGAACTTTACGAAACTTCGGTTCGTCTTGTATCTGTTTTTCCGAACGTCGAAATTGCTCTTCGGATTTTTTTAACACGATTTCAATGATTTCAAATTGTTCTGCTGAGCGCTCGTTTTCAAAAACCATTTAAAAATGAGCGGCGTTACTAGAGTTTTACCCCCCCCTCCACCTTTTTATTTTTATTTTTTTTATTGGTGATTATGGTAGAGAATTTTATGCTGATTAAGAATCGTATAAAAATATTAGTCTGAAAGTTACATAAAGTGCTATAATTTGATGTTGAAGCTTAAAAAATTAATCTAAAAAACGCTAATATTCGCCATTTTTAAATACGTTTTACATCAAAGTTTACATTTTGAAATCGATCGCTTTTTTTTAATTACGCGACCCGGTTTTTATTGTCATCAAAGTTAAATTATACTTGAATTAAATGTTTTCATGAATGTATTTTATATATCTTTAATTATTATTATTTTAAATTAATTCAAATATTGCCTTTTAAATGTACATAAATCGACTGAAAAATAGGGATTGGCGCAACTAAATGAACATACCGTCAACCGGGGTAACTTCGGACTGCAATGTAACTCCGGACAGAGCGTTTCTTCTTCTTCCTTTTCTGTGTCTTGTAATAATGCCGCGAACCTACAATAGTAAGCAAAACTTAACATTGTTGTATGGAGCAAGCTCCAAAGAAAATCTTCAAAAAGCATTAAAAGATTATGGTAAAGGCATGAGTATTCGGAAGGCGGCAGATAAGCATAATGTTAAAAAATCCACATTATATGATCACATTAGAAACACTAAATTAAAGAATATTGGAAGGCCTACAATTCTAAGCATTACAGATAAAGTACTCATTGCTCAAATAATAGAAACAGTTGTTGATTGGGGCTTTCCTATTGGAAGATTAGAAGTTAGAATGATGGCTTTCGATTTCCTCAAAAATCGTAATGGGTTGAACAATTCCAAGTTAAAGATGCCTGGAGATGACTGGTTAAATTCTTTTATGAAACGAAATAAAATTACTGGCCGAAATGCTTCTAATATTAAACGTTCAAGATCAAAGTTAGGAGTTGAAACTTCTTTGATGAACTTGAAAAAACTTATGAATTATTTGGTGATATTCCACTTTCAAATATATTTAATTTCGACGAGACAAATCTTTCAGATGATCCTGGAAAAAATGTTGTTTTAGTTCAAAGAGAAAGACGACGTATTGAAAATATCCAAGAACATAGTAAAACTTTGATATCAATTATGTGGTGTGGCTCTGCTTCTGGAGTAATTGAACCACCTATGGTAGTTTACAAAGCTTTGAATGTATATCAAGGTTGGGTGACAGGAGGGCCACAGGGAACAGCCTACAGTTGTACAAAAACAGGTTGGTTTGATATGGAAATCTTCGAGAAACGGTTTAAAGCATGCTTCTTGCCAAACGTTCAGCATTTAAATGGGCCCAAACTCTTTTTAGAAGATAATTTGGCCTCTCATTTTAATGCAGACGTTATAAAACTAGCTAAAGAGCATAATGTTTACTTTGTTATGTTGCCACCAAATGCCACACATATAATGCAGTCATTAGATGTATCTGTCTATGGCCCTATGAAGCGTTGTTGGAGGCAAGTATTAATTGAATGGAAGAAACAAAGCAGAAAATCTGGATGTTTTCCTAAAGAACATTTTCCAGGTCTATTGAAAAGTTTATCTTTTAAGTTGCAAGGCACTATATGTCAAAGTTTAGTTTCTGGATTTCATACATGTGGAATATATCTTATAAATTGTATGATCATTTTAAAAAAGATGCCAGAGTTCCAGACACCAGGAGCATTGACAAAAACTATTTTAAACGGTTCAGTAACAACTTTGTTAATGTCTAATTGTGGCGCATATGAAACAAAAAAACCCAGGGGTAATAAGTTAAACATTGGATCAGGGGCAGATTTAAATGTTGTTGCAGATAATGACACTAATATTTATTTAATCTGTGGAAAAGAAGACGACGAAGAAACCGGTGAAATCATTGAAGAAGAAGAGGAAGTTTAAGTTGATTGGACAGGCTGTGAACATTGCGGTCCTTGGTATCATTCAAAGTGTTTGGAAGATGCTATGTCGATAGAGTGCATTGTATGCCAAAAACAATAGTTTGCCTTGTATTTTTTTTTTTTAAA